ATATATATATATAATATATGTATAGATCTCTATATAGGAATATATATAAGAAAGAGAAAGAAATAATTAATTAATTAAATTAAATATAAATAAATAAAAAAATAAATATAAATAAATATAAATAAATATAAATAAATAAAATAAATAATAAACAAAAAAACTAAAAAAAAAAAGGAACAATATTGCTGCATGCATAGACCCAGCGGTAGTAACCTTTGGGGCTTCTTTGCTGCAGCAGCGCATGCGCTGCAGCAGCAGCAGCAGCAGCAGCAGCAGGAGAATTAATAAATAGTATTTGTTTTAATAATATAATAAATTAGAATAATTTATTTTGTCTAAGAATTAGGGTTTAGGGTTTAGGGTTTAGGGTTTAGTGTTTAGCATAAACCCTAATATAAGGACACTGTGTGATTCCTTTATTCCCTCCGCAAACCCTAAACCCTCATTAATAGAGGAATCCTTCAAACCCTAAACCCTAAACCCTAAACCCTAAACCCTAAACCCTAAACCCTAAACCCTAAACCCCCGATGACGGATACAGCAGAGCTAAGAGAGTTTAAGAAATTCTTGACGGATGGCCTTGAGGCCCTCGGCCTCGATGCTGAAGTCTTCGTAGGCACGTAAACCCTAAACCCTAAACCCTAAACCCTAAACCCTAAACCCTAAACCCTAGCCTAAACACTAAACCCTAAACCCTACACCTTAATGGCTTGGTGTGTACAACTAGACCCTATTCCTCAACCCTCCTTCGGTGAAAACCCTAAACCCTACTGTGTTCACAAGACTAAGCCCTAAACCCTAAACCCTAAACCCTAAACCCTTTTTCTTCGAGAGGGTTTTGCTGCTGTTTGTTGCAGAATATATATTAGGATTGCTGGAGAGTTCAGGTGGCACAGCAGCAGCAGCAGCAGCAGCAACAGCAGAGGAGAAGCAGCAGCAGAAGGAGCAGCTGCAGGCAGATATAAAGGAGACATTAAGTCTATCATTAGCAGACAGCAGCAGCAGCAGCAGCGATGAGCAGCAGCAGCAGCAGCAGCAGCTAGAGGATTTTTGCTGCAAATGTGCTACACAATGGATAGATATTGTCCTTCCTGCTGCAGCGCAGCAGCAGCAGCAGCAAAGGCAGCAAAACTTTGATGCTGTTATCTCTGTACGTACACCAGCAGCAACAACACCAACAGCAGCAGAAGCAGCAGAAGCAGCAGCAGCGGCTGCTGCTGCTGCAGTTGCTGCTGCTGCTGCTACCCCTGAAGATGAGGTCGCAAGACGCATACGAGAGGTACTACGAATCCTGCTGCTGCTGCTGCTGCTGCTGCTGCTTGACCTGTTGTTAGTCTGCGTTGCCACTGACCCTGTTGCTGCTGCTGCTGTTGCTGCTGTTAATGTTGCTGCTGCTGCTGTTGCTGTTGCTGCTGCTGCTGCAGCGTGTGGTGCAGCAGTACGGGTATGAGGTAGACGAGATGGTAGAGTGTGACGATGAAGGGAAGCTGCAGCTAAACAGCAGCAGCAGCAGCAGCAGCAGCAGCAGCAGCAGCAGCAGCAGCCCTAAGAAGGATGGTTATGATGCAGGCATATGGAGTAATGATAACAGAGCACGAGTATATAAAACCCTAAACCCTAAACCCTAATAAACCCTAATAAACCCCTATAAACCCTAGTAAACCCTAGAACAGAATATATCCGAGGGTTTAGGGTTTAGTGCTGCTGCGCTGTCTATACACCCCGTTGCTGCAGGTACTAAAGGCGTCACAAGCAGCAAGAGCAAAGGCTAAGGCAGATCATGAGATGTACGTCAAACCCTAAACCCTAAACCCTAAACCCTAAGCTTCCTACAAACCCTAAACCCTAAACCCTCATCGTTGAGGGTTTAGGGTGTCTTTATTGTTGCATAGTGTTAAGGGTTTAGATAAAAACCCTCTAGGCGGTATTATGACAAGATATACTGCTGCTGCTGCTGCTGCTGCTGCCTGTGCATGTGCTGCTGCAGGGAGGTGCAGCGCAACAAACAGCAGCAGCTGCTGCAGCAGCAAAAGATGGAGAAAGAGAAACAGCGAGTAGCGCGCAAGGAAAGGAAGGCAGGTCGCTAGCAGCTGCAGCTAGCTGCTGCAGCTAGCTAGATGCTGCTGCTAGCTAGCTGCTGCAGCTAGCTAGATGCTGCTGCTAGCTAGCTGCTGCAGCTAGGTGCTAGCTACTGCAGCTGGGGGCAGCTAGCTGATAACTGCTGCAGCTAGCTATAGGACCCAGCAGCAGCAGCTAGCTGTGGCTATCCGCTGCAGCAGCTAGCTAGCTAGCTAGCTAGCTAGCTAGCTAGCTGTGTCTGTCTGCTGCAACAACATACAGCTGGGTTGCTGGTGTTGCCTGCTGCTGCAACAGCTGGCTAGCTGCTACTGTCTGCAGCAGCAGCAGCAGCAGCAGCAGCAGCAGCAGCAGGTTTCTGGCTGTTGCTGCTTGCTGCTGCAGCAGCAGCAGCAGCAAGAGCTTCTTCAGCTAACTTTCTTGCTTTTATAGGAGAGAGTGTGGGGTGTATAGACAGCAAAGAACCAACTAACCCTCCTACCTGCTGCCTGCACACAAACCCTAAACCCTAAACCCTAAACTCTAAACCCTAGAGGAGAGGAAAACAGCAACATATTATATCTACCATGGTTGTCTAGGACCTAGGGTTTAGGGTTTAGGGTTTAGGGTTTACTTAGGCTGCTCTTTAAATAGCTCCTGTAGATCCTCACGAGCACGAGCCTCTGTCTCCTCCTCCGTTGCCTGCGCAAACCCTAAACCCTAAACCCTAAGCTCTAAACCCTAGTTTGCGGTCTAGCCTTCTGTCAAGGGAGAAGGGAGAATGTCGAGGGTTTAGGGTTTACGTTATCTGTTAAGTATATCTTAGCGTCCGTGTCTACCCAAAATGTCTAGGGTTTAGGGTTTAGGGTTTAGGGTTTACGTTGTGTGCTAAGTATCTCTTAGCGTCAGGGTCTCCTTGAGCGAGCGCAGCGACATACAAACGCAACGCCTGCAACACATAAACCCTAAACCCTAAACCCTAAACCCCAAAGCCTAAACCCTAAACCCTAAACCCCAAAGCCTAAACCCTAAACCCTAAACCCCAAACCCTAAACCCTAAACCCTAAACCCTAAACCCTCGGTAGAGGGACATACTTTAGTTGTTAATCTTCCTTTTTGTACCTCCTTTAATGCAAACGCTAAATCATCAGGCCTGCATGCAGGAGACAAAAAGAGAGATAAAAGGAGACAATAGGGTATAAAAGGAGACAAAAGGAGAGTTGCCTATACACCTTAAAAAAAAAAAAAAAAAAAAAAGTTGCCTATACACCTGAATACTTACTGTATAAAGTGTATTTGTGTATAATTTTTTATAGAGGAAGAAAATCCATTAAGAAGGAAAGAAGATGTTCTTATTGGGCAACAACCCTTTTGCACTAAATACTCATAGTATTCAGATAACTGCAGCAGCAGCAACAGCAGCAGCAGCAGCAGCAGCAGCAACAGCAGCAACAGCAGCAGCAGCAGTAATAACAGCAGCAGAAGCAGTAGTAAATATATTGACAAAAAAAAAATATTAATTATATTTTGCCTCTTTTTCTTTTTGTCTCCTTTTCTTCTTTATTTATCTCCTTATTTATTATAATAAATAAAAAAGTGTCTCCTTTTTATTATAATAAATAAAAATGTGTCTCCTTTTTATTATAATAAATAAAAATGTGTCTCCTTTTTTTTTTTTTTTTTTTTTTTTTTTTTTTTTTTTTTTT